TTGAAACCGGTAACACGGGTCCTGAGATTCAAGCGTACAGGGAGGAATTTATTAAAGCCCACGCGAGACTTTTACAGCTGACAGTTTTTACTGCGAGCTGTCAGAGTGGATAAAGCAAGAGTGAAATTAATAAAACCTTAGTTACCCAGAAAACCGTGAAGGTGAACCTGCATGCACACATGCTGCACCTAAGGGGAGTACAGCCTACTTTAATAGACAGATCAGAATCAGAATCAGAATACTTTATTGATCCCTGGGGGAAATTATTTTATTGATCCCACAAGGTTAAACTTTTGTGTTACAGCAGCATGATAAAGAATAAAATCGTACAGTGTACAATACACAACAAATAAACAACAAAGTAAGAGGTTTATACTATGAGACTGTTGTAAACAAATTCTTGCAGTGTGATAAAAACAAACAAAAATGTAGTTAAAAACAATGAAGAAGAAGTGCAAATTGGATTAATAAATAATATGTATAACTAAAAAAACAGCAGCATGAAGGTATAATACAAAAGCATGCTTCAATCTGTAGGAAAGATTTCCTAAAGCGTTCTTTATGGCAGTGAGGTTGAATCAGTCTGAGGGAGAAGGAGCTCTGCTGCACCCTCATATAGATGTCATCACATCAAAAGTGTTTGCAAGTGAGTTTAATCATTGCGTTGTATTGAAATCCTCCTTTACAGTGGGCTGAAAGAAGCTAGAATAGAGTATCTGTTAAAGAAAAGTCATAAAGCTTGTAAAGTAAGAGCCAGAACAAAAGTTTTAAAGTCTTAAAGGGCCTAAAGTAAAGAATTCCTTTATTGGATCAGCTGTATGGGATTAACTTAATGTTGCAGTTGGATATTATTTTAATTCCTTCTTATGCTGCCGTTTTGATTTATCAATAATAATACAGCAGAATACATGAGCAGGTTTTAAAACCCCAAATAAAAACTTTAAAATAAATTGATGAAGTTTAGTTTACAACATTTTAAAGTTTTACCCCCAGAAATACCAGTGTTTTTGACACGTGGATGCTAATGACCTAACACTGATTTCTGACAGTAACCCAAACAGAGATGACTACACGATGAGGGGACCATGATGAAAGACCACAAAGTCAAACTTCTTTTTCTTTTTTGTTTATTGTGGCAAGAAAGTTGGAAAATACACACAAACACACACCTTGTCCGACATTTAGTCAGTTAGGGTCTGGTTACACACACAGAGGACAAAATACAGTATTTTCACCCAAAATACAGAGGATTACTCAAAGAAAGTACAAGTACATTAAAACTTTACTTCAGTGAAGTACTAGAGTAAATGTACTAAATTCATCCTTTCATCCAGTGCTGGTGGACCCAGTGGTGATGTTGAGCTGGTGAAGCTCAGTGGGCACATGACTGCTGGGAATTCTAATAGCAATCACATCATCATGTTATTGGAAGATCCTGGACCAAGGCATGGGCCTGGTTGATCTGGACTCAGGCAGGGTCATGCCTTGTCTCAGATTGTGTTTGTGCTAATCAAGTGTGTAGTCGAGGTGAGGAGGGTGACTTTCAACATGAACGTGGCACTACGAGCGTCAGCACCTCCAAGTCTGAGTGATGGAGGTCCTGGGATCTTGCTGGTGAGGTTTAGTATAAATAGCCAAAGTCTGTCAATTGAAGGTGAATATCAGAATCGCCTGTTGTTGATGAAAGTAAAGACAGGAAAGCACAATGAGCCCTCTTTAATTGACGGGGGTGATGATCAGAGGTGCAGAGTTCCAACCATCATTTTCCAGTCCAGGACTGAAGTATGGGTAGAGTTTCTCAGTGAAGGAGCAGCCAGTAAAGGAGTAGATCAGAGCTGCAGTATCAACGTCATAAAAGGAGACCAGGCCATCCTCATAATCCACAAACACCCCCACCTTCTTAGGAGCAGACTGCAGAGAGAGAGCGACATCAGGGCCAGCTTTGTATTTATTTCCATTACTCAGGCCTACAGTCCAGAAACCGGCTGCAGGTCTCGGTGTGATGTCTTCCCTCCTGTTGATCGACTCTCTGGCCACTCCCAAAGTCCACTCGCCCTTTCCTTCAACCTGAACCTCAAAATAAAATCTGCCTGAAGAGAAACTCTGTTTTCCTAAAACAGCAGCACTGTAAAAAAATCTCTCTGAGTTGTAGGGAAGAGCTTTCTCCCTATAGGTATCATGTACTTGTTTCTCATCATCAGACAGGAAGAGGTAAGCATTTGCTGTGTCTGGATCGAGTGTCACGTCCACTGCGTAGCTCTGGGCCCTCCTCAGCTTGGCCATGGCGAGCATCTTGGGTAGTTTCTCCTTCATCTCTGCAGTTTCCTCCAGCTGAAGCACAGAGAGCAGCTCTACCTCCGTCTTCCTCTTCTTCAGCTCACGGATGTCCTGCTCCATCTTTCTGATGAAGCCTTCAGCCTGCAGCTCTGTTTGTCTCTGCTTCTCTCTGATGGCCTCCGTGAGCTTGGCCTCACCTTTCTCGACATACTCTTTCAGAGCAGCAAAGACCCGAGCACCATCTGTCATCTCTCTGTCTGCGTCCTCTTTACCGAGCTCCACTGAGCGTTTGAGCTCCTCAATCTTCAGTCGCATCTCCTCGATCGTCTGCTGGATTTCAGCCTCCATCTTCACCCCTTTCTTTCCTTTACTCATTTCTTCCAAAGGATGATTGAATTTCATGCAGTCCAAAAGTAATGAAAGAAACACCACACAGAGAAGCAGCGGCAGTGGTTTTAAGCCTAACCCAGGGAGAACTTCTTCCTGTCTGGCTGGCCGTTGCTCTGCCCGTCTGAAGGTATCAACCATCTCAGAGATCAGAGTGTTGACCTGCAGCTCGGGCTTTGGGTAGAACATCTTCATGCAGGTGGGACACTGGAACGGGACGTCGGCGTCAACGGGTTCAGTGATGCAGTTTTTGCAGAAGTTGTGTCCACACGGCGTGCTGACCGGATCGGTGAACACATCCAGACAGATGGCGCACAGAAACTGATCTTCAGTCAGCAGACAGGCGGCAGCAGCCATGTTTGGACACTGAGAACAGAAAGGAAAGACGCTGGTTACCCAGTGCAGAATAACACGTCCTGTGAGCTGAAGCAGAGCTCTTGTATTGTCCTCAACTCTCTGTTGAGTTCTGCTGTAATTTCTTTTCTTCCGTCTCTGCTCTGTTTGTTCCCTGGCCTGTGCAACATTAGCATCTCAGCGCTGTTTCACCATTATAAGTTTAAGTCATGGATAAATTCCACGGTGGACTGTTTTACCTTAGTTTCTGCCAGGTGTTGTTCAGGTTTGCTATTCGTCCACCTTTGATGCATTTGTGGGTTCAATATTAACACATTTTAAAAATAGTCTGTTAACAACAGGACAAAATCGGTGTTTTTTCTACTTTAGCATGTAAACAACATAGAGCATCAGACACGTGACTCAGAAACTGATTCTAAGGTTTCCATTTTTTTTTTAGTACTTTCCACACATAAACCAAAACTGAAAACATCGCATTGTTTTAGATTCCCCAGAGAAGCCTTTGTTTTCGGGGGTATAAAGTTTTAAATATTTGATCGCGTAGTTTATCCGTGCGCTCATGGAGGGGACAAAGTATTTCTGGAGGTTGGCCAAAGGGGAGGGAGCCAAAACAAACAGGCTGAAATGAAACTTTTAAAACGCTCCTGTTTAAGATCACAGGGCCGTTTACTGATGCGTGAATCACGTGGCGCTTTGCACGCAGAGCCTCAGAACAGAAGCGCAAACACCTGGAACCTTTCACCAAACATCCCCTTCTCCCCTGAAACTTCCTAAACTGAATTTTCATGTTTGCGTTAAGAGTTTTCAGCTCGACTCACCAAAGCTGGGCGGAAACTCCCGAAGAAATCCGATTAACATTTGTTTGCAGACACAAACAAAGCCGTCTTCGATCAGCTGCACAGATGCCGCAAACCGAAAGCGCATCAGTGTTTGAGTGGACTGGACACACTTCCTGTGTGAGCTGTTTAGCTCCACCCACACCTGAGAGGGTAAACAGCTTGAGGAAATGACGTGTACAGACCAGCGGGTGTGTCGGCTAAATAAAAAAACGTATAGAGGCAGATGGTCTTTACTCCTCTTGACCTGCAGCCCAGGAACAGCTCACAGAGGGCAGTGACTTTAACTCCACCTCACCTGTGGAGCCCTCGGATCTACCACCAGGTGTCCTCCTCTCCAGTGTTGTGCCAAAAAGCAGTTTTCGATGTTTATTTTTACGCCTCATACCCTTGCTAACATTGGCAAATAGACTGTAGTTATCATGATTTATTACGGTGTTATAAACAGAATAAAGAAATGACCTGTAGCTCGCAGGACTTATTGTCTTATTGTACATTCATTGTAATCAATAGAGTTCCCTTTTGGACGCTTAAAATATCTTTATATTACTGTGATGTTATGTTTGTCCCAATTTCTGCTTCCCTCTTGGGCAGATCTAACGTCTATGACACTTCTTCCTGTATAAATAAAGGATATAAGAATTCACTTTGCCAAAAACAGATCGCCATGTCCATCTTTTGATAGGAATGTACTTTCTGGCCCCAAATAGCTTGATGCCATTCATGACAGATGTATCTGATAGATTATAGACCAACAAATCATTTATAACAGTTTAAATGTCACCAGTCACTTTCTGGATCTTCTCCTTCTCCCATAAAGCTGATCAATCAGATGCAAATACTGCTGTGTCTTGTATCTTCAGTCCTTGACTCGTCTATGTTTTCCTGGACAGTTGGTGACTCGTTTCACCTCCACCTGCACTCCCAGCCTCATGTACAGCAGATACCAGTGACACCAGCAGGTAAGAGAAGTGGCAGATCTGCCTTCAGCTCTCATGAAGGCGGCCTTAAAACAGATGGCTTGTATTGATTCAAAATCAACATTACTGCTTTAGACAGACTTCATTCATCTTAATAAACAGTGAGAACAACATAACCTGCTCACTAAACAGTTCAGTCACATTTCACGTGCATCTGTGGAGTTTCTCTTCCCTCTTTGTTTTCAGCCACTCGGTATCCCAGGTGGCCGAAAACTGTCTTGCTGGCCTGTGGTGTAGACCAAGGCTCCAGTGCGTATTTCTTATTGATGCTTATCATGGAAAGACCAAGACTTTAAATGCTGTTGAAAAACTTTACATCTTATTATAATCTGAGCTCTGTGGTCTGAAGGATCTTCTTGGAGTCGTGGTTTTATTTTCCAGAGAACTGACTGGTCAGCTGGTGGTGACTTCACAACTGTTGACATCACTCATCAAACATAAGGTAAAAAGTAAACGACCTCTGTCACACTGAAAATCCAGGATTAAACATCACTAGGCCCCAAATCCTGTTCCAACCTATAACATGAATCACAGATGAACCTTTAATCTTTCTACTGAAACAGATTTCTGCATTTTGAGGGTTTATTTACACACCACGAGCATCTGAATTACAGAACAGTACTGAATACTGCTTACAGTTTGATACTAAAAGCTGGCTGAGGCCATCAGAGCAGGACAGGTGGACACGCAGCTGGAGTTTCCTTAAAAAACAAAAACATTATAATGTCCTCACAGAAATACATAAATATTAACTGGAGAGGTTCATTTGTTGTCGTCTCCAGCCCCTCGATCGCTGCTGAAGGATGAGATGAGATTATAGATCCTTGTGGTGTACGGGACAAAGTCTTTCTTATAGGTGATGACAGTTTTGGTGTGTGCCGTCTTGTAGACCTCCTGGTTTGGATCCTGCGGCTCTTCCACTTCTTCTTTTTTCACTGAGTAAGAGGAGGGCAATCATAAACATTCATTATCAGTTACTTCTATGAATATATGTGTCAGCAATAAAGGGTAGCACTGTGCAAACAAACTGGATCAGCTGATATTGAAAGTAAATGAAATTTGTTATTTCAGACTAGAGAGAGAATCTGTTTCTTTATACGCCACAGCTGCAGGTCAGTAACCTCTGTTTTGTCCTGTTTGTGGTTCCTTCCTCTCTCACCAACCAGCAGAACGTGATGTAAGCTGCGTATCCAGTGTATGTAAGCTGGATACGCAGCCTCCAGTGTAACTTATTGCATGCATTTGCAGGAAGAAAGGGGCACGTCTCAGAGCTCCTCTTAGATTCATCTCATTTTAATATTTCTTCAGTTTCTTCACATTAAATGAGTAACATCTGTCAGCATACCCGATGACACTCATCAAAAAGAGGCTGTTAAATAATTCGGCGTACTTCAGTTTGAGAATATTGTTTGCGCATGTGTGAATTTCACAGTTCACGTCGCTCACCTGGCGCGACCTCGCAGCGACCTGTGTATTTCAGGTAAGCGTACGAGCCGACCATGGTCCAAATACCAATCGCGTACACGGCGGATACTCTGGCGTTCCACTTCAGCAGATCTTTGAACTTCATGGCTGCTTCGCTCCACAGCGCTTTATTATTTCATGAACGTGTTTAGATTCCTTTCGCTAGAGCGTTATGGGCGCCGCCATGACAGTCACCCCGGAAGTACTAAAAAATAACCGGTCGCGTGTTTTTTTTCCATTATTTTTTTAATTTTATCATTAAAATCTAGAAATTGTTGATTATTTATGTCACAGGGTTCCGAGATAAAATCGCTCACAGTTCATAGACTCACACCATTTTTCAGCATGTGTAACTTTATAAGTGCAGGATATCCCCACGAAACTGACGGGGTTGAAAAACATATTTAAGCTCTGTTCAAATCAAATCAGTTTTACACTGGCACTGGGAGAACAGGCCTTCACACAAACTGCAGAATGGATGGACTTAAGCAGACCTTAAAAGAAGCTGGTCTGGTAATTCTCCTATTTAACTCATTGTCCCCCAGTGGACACACCACTCGGTTTCATCTCAAGTCCTGAGATCTGGTTGATGAAGAAGAAGAGTATGGACATAACAGAGGATGAAAAAAAAACATCTTGAAAATGTATGTTATAGCTTAATTACGGAATTATATAATTATTTCACTTTAATTTGTTTTGTTTGTTTTTTTGTTTAGTTCTTCAATTCAATTCAATTTTACTTACAGCTGGTAAGGTAAGAATCACAACAACAGTTGCCTCAAGGTGTTTTATATTGTGAGGTAAAAATCCTACAATGATACGAAGAAAATGAAGAAAACCCTGAAAAATCATATGAACCTCCATGAACAGGCACTTTGGTGACAGTGGCAAGGAAGAACTCCCTTTTAACAGGAAGAAATGTTAGCAGAACCAGGCTAAAGAACAACAAATTATATCATTGGCTGAGATCACCTTTACAGACTTTTCATCGTCATACACAGGGTTGTTGTGTATCACTCCCTGGTGGTCTAGTGGTTAGGATTCGGCGCTCTCACCGCCGCGGCCCGGGTTCGATTCCCGGTCAGGGAACACATGTTTTGTTTGAGCATAATTCATGTTTTACGCAAGCGATTCAATTTCACGTGGACACACCTGTTAGGTCACGTGAGGTATACGCCAAAACTGTTACGTGCAAAAATAATCGCGTTTCATTTAGTAAGTCCGCGTTATAAACACAGAGATCTTGGCCAAAGTTTTTGTGAAAAGAAATCTCTCCTTCGAGCCGGATTCGAACCAGCGACCTAAGGATCACTGTGATCAGCCTCTACAGTCCTCCGCTCTACCAACTGAGCTATCGAAGGGGGATGTGGACCGAGCAGCGTCACAGCTGTTTTGATCAAAACACGCACTGGGATCTGTTTTTCTAGTTTACGTCCCTCATTGCAGCCACTAAAGATCTGACCAACACAATAATGAAGTTTCAGTCTTTCTTTATTTTTCTCTTGTAGTAATCATTCACACTCCAGCAGTTACTCTGGAAATACTTACACTTTCCTTGTCATGTCTGTGACGCTCTCCCGTCCCTTTCTCCCTATCCCATACTAACACCCAGCATCAAACCTCCCACCTTCATGGATAAAAAGAAAAACCTACATTTCAAAGTGTTCAAACGGCCTCAGACAGTGCACACTTCAGGTCCGGATCCGGATGAGCCAGACAAGACAAACAGAAATGAAACTTTGTTTGTTTCAAAGCATTCTTTTATTAATAAAAAGACAATTTAAGACCTAATTGATCATACAAAATCAGCATTCTCCTCAGTCGCTGTGCAGTGTTTGAGCCAAAGAGCTGAAACTGCATCAACATAAGAGGAAGTTGTGATTTTTTTAATAACATTTTCAGATATTTTATTTGCTGCTGAACGAAGGCTGGACGATCCCATCTACAAATATCTGCTGTGAAACCTTCAAATGTCTGCAGAACAGCAGCAGGACAGCTGATATGTAGAAACCTCACAGAACAGCAAGTGTACAAGGTGTCTGACTCTCTATTCAAATTCATTACATGTCACACTCAGATAAAAGTCTACCATCAAATTCCTTTTCCAAAAGAAAAGATGATGCAAATCAGCTTCTTTACACTGACAGGGGGGGAGGAAAAAAGACATTATATTTAATAATACTGTCTTTGTAAACACATTATGACATAAAAAAAATCAAAACAAAAAAAAAAGGAGCATATTCAATACAACATAAATGTACAAAAGAATGAAAAGGCAATTTAATCTATAATAGTGTCAAGAAATATGCTATTAAAAAGCAAAGGTGTACCTAAATACCATTAAAAAAAATGTAATAAAGAAGTGAAGGAAGTACCATTGTCGTATTCACCAAAATAAAAGCTTAAAACGGGAGAATGTTTGTGGCATACACAGTACACAGACGTCGAGATAAGAGGTCATTTAGAGACCCAACTCAGAGACTGGGCAAAATGTTTTCAGTCGTGGAGACAAGTGGAGAGACAGGGTGGGAGCACGCTTTCTTAAATGAATCCTAGGAAGAGATGTACTCAAATGAATCAATCCTGGTGCTAATGTGTGCTGATTGGTCCGTTAAGGATTTACGATTGGTTTTCAAACGATAACAGTGTGGGTGTGGCTAAAGGCCAGCACAAACGTCCATGGGCGTAGAAGAAGCCGGTGGTCGTGTCGGATGACGGTGATGTTTTCAGGAGGCTGCCCTAAACTGGATAGTGGTGCTGTGACGGCCCTAATACTCCGGAATCATTTCACTAGCTGTTTATTTGACAGCTATTGAGAACATTTCCCGAAGAAGAAGAAAATTTTAAACCATGAAATTTGCAATGTTTTTCTACAGTTCCCCAGAATGCCATTTATTCCGGCCCATCTCACAGCGTTTGAACCCCCCCCCCAAAGAGCCAATCAGAAGTCAGTTTGAGCTGTGTGGTGGTGGGCGGGCGCAGCAAAGATGAAGACCTAGTGTGGTTTCTGTTCTCATGGGAGGAGCCAGAGATGTTTATAATGTTTAATGTTTGTGGGCTAAAAAGCTTTTAAGTGGTCAAACCTTTGAAGCAGTTTTTAATCAGATTCGACTGGAGACTCTATAAATGCAGATGTTTCAGAGATGAGGAGATTCCATCTGTTTTCTATCAGCAGCCTCCTCCAACACCACAGCGTTAGAACCAGCTCAGAGGCATAATCTCTCGAGCGTGTCCAGGGCCTCTTCCTTTGTGGACCTGCCTAAAACACCTCAGCTGAGCTCCTTCTGCATGATGAGCTCCTCAGATACGTTTGTGGAGGAGTTTCATTTCTGCTCCTTGTGTCCTCAATCTTATCCCTTCGGTCCCTACCTGCATCTCAGGGCCACAGGAACGTTTGACCGGCAGATCTACAGATTAACCTTCACCCTCAGATTAGCCTGTTTTTGAAGGTACTAATTCTCATCTGTCTGCTTCATGCTCAGCTGCAAACAGGTCTAGTGTGAGAAGGAGGTCACTGCTGGCCAAAGCCCAGAGATAACGAAGCCCTACAACACCATAAATTTGATATTGTTTTTATTGTTTTGCTTTTAAAAAAAGCGTGCAACAGCCCTTTTTTGTCACTCAGCAGATCTCCTGACCTTCAGACCTCCTGCCCAATCTGATCCCATCCTCACGCTCGTGTCTCCCTCCTCTTTAACCGCTACCCGAGACGTTCATCACAGCTCTAATGAAACGCTTCATAGAGAGAAAAACTGCATCCAGTGAAACTCTGATCTGTCAGGAACAAAAGAATGAAATAAAGAAAATGGTACCTGTGTCTAAGGTTAACTCGTACCACAGTGGCTCGATAGTAAGACTCCGAAGGCGCCCAGCAGGTGAGCGGGGGTCGGTTTGGTCTTTAGTCATTTCACACACACATGATCACACAGAGCTGAGCTCGTGTAAAACCATCAGGTTAAGAGGTAAAATATGGAATAACTAAATGAGGAGGACTATAGTAACAATGAGGAAATAAAGTGGATAACTCAGCCTGCAGACTGACATGTAGTTCAAAAGAAAATCCGCCAGGGGGCGCCGCAGCACTGCACTTCAACCGCAGGCGAGCAGGTGGTTTGAACAAAGGCAGCACTCAGCCTCTCCTCCTCTCCGAAAAGTTAGTGTTACTCTACTCCTATCCTACGCTACGTCCGTGCACCATCCCTCGTTCTTCCTGCTGCCCCTCCTCCCTCTGTCCTTACAGCCCCAAGCTGCTCCGTAGTCTTCCTCTCTTTGTCCTTCCTCTCCCAGTTTTTATTGAACTGCTCTAACTTTTTTTCCTTCTTTTTTGACTCTTTCCCAGTAAAGTAAACTTATTTTTATTATTAGTACGGATTCACTCTGACCGCTGTCGTTTAGTACCTAAATCCACCTCTTCCTCCTCGTCACTCTGGCTTTTCTAGAGCTGCTGCTGCTTCTTCAAACTTCCACTCACTGCGGTTGATGTGACTAAACAAATTCAGCATCCCCCGTTACCCCAAATCGCCCTGCGCCCCCTGCTAACTGCTGGCAGAGAGATTCTGTCTCCTCCTCCTCCTCCTATTATTTTCATGGTTCAGCCGCCTCCTCTTCCCTTCCACCCTCCGTCTCCTCCTCTCGCGTTGCCCTCTCACTTCTCCATCAGTGCGTCGTCCTCCGTGATGCCCTGAGCTCGCAGCTCTTCCAGGACGTTGTCGAGGTGTCCGGGGTCGGGGAAGCCGTGGCCCGTCAGGTTGGAGCCGAACTCCGTCTTATGATGGACCTTAAAATGAAGGGAAGCGACGGGAGAACGTGTCAGTCTTTACATCACAAACTAACAACCAATCCGATTCACTCTTAGGTCTGAAGTTACCTCGTTCCAGATGACGGTGTCCGACTCTCCTGTAGTGCTTGAAGTACCCACTGAGAAGATCAACCTGCGGTCCCACGCTACCAGGAGCAGTCTGAGTACCTGAGAGGCGAAAAAAAATTAGAGATTCAGCCCAGCCTAAAATCAAACATCCATATTTTCCCCGCTGACTGCAGACTGGTTATAGGCACTGTACACTGTGAGGTATCAGAGAGAGAAAACCAATAAGATAGCCCCCACAGTGACAAGACCTTGGTAAAGTGGGGAGGAAGTAACGGACTAAACCCTCTGACCACCACCACTGGTGGTGGTCAGAGGGCCCGGTGGCGCCAGTGTCCGGCAGCCTTGCCTCTGTCAGTGCGCCCCAGGGCAGCTGTGGCTACAACGTAGCTTGCTATCGCCAGTGTATGAATGTGTGTGTGAATGGGTGAATGACTGAATGTAGTGTAAAGCGCTTTGGGGTCCTATGGACTAGAAAGCGCTATACAAATGCAGGCCATTTACCAGGCCATAAACTAACCAATTGAAATGCCCAGTGCATCATGGGAAGTCCCCCATCAGCTTGAGCATTTAGCAGGACAACAAAGGGGTCACCCAGACAGAGGTGGTACCTCGGGAGAGGAGCCTGGTAGCAGAAGTCTCTGCCTCCCATTCTACTTTGAGCTTAATTATACTGAAGTGAGGTGTCCATCTCTACAGCAGACATCTCCAAAACTGGGCGACCCAAACCGAAACCATCTAACACTAAACAAATCTGACAGCGGGACGAATGGACGTCTGTTGGTGGTTACCTTGCGTCCTTTCTCGCTGTCTGGGAGGTAGCAGTGTCGGGGAAAGCCTCTGGCAGTGAAGGGCTTCCCTGGATTCGGGTGCTCTGGTCCCTGAAAGGAGAGGAGCAACGTTAGAGGGTGTCAAACGCCACCTGTGAGGGCCAAACAGGGCCGCTGGTCCAGGTGTTTGAAGTGTTGGAGGTACCTGAATGCCTGGTGGGATGTTGTAGATGATGCGTATGGTTTTGCAGTCGGGGTGGCCCGGTAAAGAGTGTGGGATGACATGGTATTCCATCTTCCCTGCCGGCTGGTTTCCAGTCTTCACGCCGTAGATGGTTTTACAGGTGGGACACTGGAGACTGAAGAGAGGAGGAAGCAGATCCATTAAACGAAGGACTTTCCTAAAACCTGAGAGGATGAGGAGCGTGGTCTGGTTCTAACCTGCCGTCCTTGTTGCCGTTATTATACATGGCCACCAGACACTGGAAGTGGTACTGGTGCCCGCACTGTGCCAGCCGTCCAACTGACTCCGCCCTGGACACAGGCCCCACCCCTGGACCCTTGTATCCAGACGGGCCCCCCAGTGGCTCCATGCAGATGGTGCAGTCCTGGGAAATATTCAGACAGAGGAAAGGCTCATTCCCCTTTATCTCTGCACGTGGTATGGAATTTCATGATAAAAAACTGAGGTCTCACCTCCTCTGGTGGACTTTTTACTTTTTGCAGGTACTTCTTCACCACCTCCTCTGGAGTTTTACCTGCGTACAGAGAGAAGGACGGGAGACGACGGGATGAAACCTGCGGCTGATGGTTCAACATCTCTACAACTGTGAAAGCTGAGAGGTCAAAATGGAGAGATCACCACGCGTACCTTTGCGAGCCTGTTTCTTGGTGGTCTTCCTGCAGCAGTGGCCGAAGCCAGGCACCGGCTTGACGTCGCTCTTGCTAACAGGCGGAGGGTGAAGCACGAGCTTCGGAGGCCTGGTCAAACACACGGGCAGAGCGGCAGCACTCATCAGGATTCCCGTGATCCCTGAAACACAACCGAAAGAAACAGTCTGTGAGAAGAGCGCTGTGGTTTCTGCATTCTTACTAACGCTAAAGTTGTTTATATTCAATTCAATTTTATTTATACAGCGCCAAATCACAACAACAGTCGCCTCAAGGTGCATTTAGATTGTAAGGTAGACCCTGCAACATTACATACACAGAAAAACCCAACAATCATATGACCCCCCTATGAGCAAGCACAGTGGGAAGGAAAAACTTCCTTTTAACAGGAAGAACCAGGCTCAGGGAGGGGCGGGGCCATCTGCTGCGAGCCATGGAAAAATCTGGTGGTGGAGCACAGGAATTATGAAAAGGTGACCGGCAGACTGTACAGAAGGACACCTGCCATCAGATCCTGACCTACTTATGTGCTAATGATGTTACTGGTAACAGCAGACTGTTCAAAGTCGTGGATCCCGTTTATATTGCAATAAACGGCCAGTTATTTGGTTTCCCTCGTGTAGCTGTATTGAGATATTTAAATGTCTTGGATAATTCTTACCGGCCAGTGCAGGGTGAACAGGACTGGATCCGTTGAGGTTCTTCACCGGGACGGTGGGCACGCTGCAGGAGAAGAAGACAAACCATTTAGCCCGATGTGTTTCCACGCTTCCTCACAGGCGCTCAGATCACACACTAAACCTCAATACTCACTAAGAAAAACTGATGACTGTCATTTTCACACAGGTAAACGCGCAGAGAGACAGAAATGGAACCAAATAAAGAAGAAATTCACTCGTTATTTTTATCTCCTCGATGTGTCACGTACGCGTCTTCTTCCTCTGTGCACCGTTTTGTTTGGAGGAGTGTGTGCAGGACTGCCGGGGGTGTGTGTGTGTGTTTATGAGAGCTAATCCTCGGAGTTTCCATCTGCTCACTGAGCTCAAAGAGATGGACGTCACACAGCTGCTTGCTGGGATTACCTGCCTCGTCACGAAGCCCATCGTCATCACCACCTTGCAGAGACACACACTGACTGACTCACACCAGTGAATTTCTTTCTAATAATCAATGTTTTTTCTGTTTTTGTTTCACACTGAAGCCTCAGGTCAGGTGAAAACTGAAAATACTACATCTTACAACAGACTGTCCAGGAAGTCTTATTATGTTAACAGACTGTTACTTTTATTATTCTGATATTTACACCCTGCAGATCGCTCAACAAGCTTGTTTTAACATTCAATCACCAGATTTAAAACGACCACAGCCCATTTTGAAATCTGTAACTCTCATTTCTACTCTGTAATAGGCAAACATGTACTATCCCGGGTTTGTTTATGTTTTGCACTTTTACAGATTATGTAACATAACATCCTGGTTTAAATCTGACAAGTTTGGTAAGTTAACAGGTTGTTTATTTCAACTGTTAAACGGTTTAGTTTGAACTCACCTTACCCACCTCTGTTCCAGGAGCAAAAGGAGGAAATGTACTTTCACTTCCTGTATTTATAGCTTCCTGGTTAATCAGGAAGGGGTCACAAGGTCACAAGAAGAGACCGAGTGTTATTTGATAAAGCTGATTTCAGAGTGTTTATAGAGAAATGGATTTGTTGTAATATGTATCGACTACACACTGCAGAGTTTGATTGCTTGGAAAGAGTAGCTGTACAGGTTTGAGTATAGAAATGTTTGCCTTACATACCTAATGGATTAGTCCAGGGCTGAGTGGACTATTTAAGCAGATGAAAGCAGGTGTTTGGGGGGGTGACCAGGTCAGTGTAGCTGTGTGCAGTTTGACCTGATTTAACTTCAGTTATGTTTATTCGAACTGAGTTAGCTATGGAGTTGAGTTTCTTATTTATTTTTTTGTAAATATTGTTTGGTCATAAAATGGTGAATAAATGGACAGCTTCTGTCTCCTGCCATTCTTCAGCTGCTTAGGTCACGTTCTACCACACTGACTTCTTTCACTCTTCTGATGACATAAAAGACGAGTAAAATAAAGAATAACGTCATTTTTTATGTCGCTTTCATTAGTTGCGTTTCATTTTAAGCCATCCATCATCCGTCTGTCTTCTGTTTTTCCAGCTTGATGACCACACAGCTGATAGACTGGGCTTAATGATGCGTTCCTTAAGTTTTTGGCGGAGCAACTCAGACAGTTGGAGCAGATGCTCCACGATGGCAGCACTGAACAGTAAGCTTTATTCTGTACTCTCACTGTTGTATATTTTTGACTCTCTAAATAACACTTTTCCTTGAACGTGCTTCTGACATCCGAGTTCTGAGGTATCTGGAACGCAGAATAACAAACCGGTAGTGACTTCCATGTTTTACACACACTGAGCAAACACTCAAAATCCAGTGTTGTGTCCCAGCTCTGTCCTCTACAGGAGAGAAAACAGAGCACCTCCTTCGAGCCGGATTCGAACCAGCGACCTAAGGATCACTGTGATCAGCCTCTACAGTCCTCCGCTCTACCAACTGAGCTATCGAAGGGGCTGGCTCGGCTCCCCCTGCCACGACACAAATGCAAACAGGGAACGTGCGACAGGCCTGAGAGACGGCAGCGATGATCTGCTGTTTCCTGTTGCTGGTTAAGCTTTAACAGGCCACTAAGCAGCTTTCACCTACCTCACTCAGCGACGCATGACCACGCACGAGCGAGTGACTCACTGCTATCTGTGTGCATCAGGAAGTGTGTGAGAGGTGTTTGTTCACGCTTATAAGCAGATAAACAGAAGGTGTGAGGAGAAGAAGAGTAAACATACGCACTCGAATACCAAGAACCTCCAAACACGAATAACACAACACTGAACACACTTTCTGCCTTCAGCTCTCACACACGATGACCGAAGCTGCTTGTGTGCAGTCGTGTTATTTCTCCTACCACAAACACGTGGATCCGCTTCGCCTAGCGGGACATACAGTTTCTGTGTTTTTAAACAGACAGAGAGGAGCAGATTTATTAGACACACGCTTTGATTTTTCAGTGTTTCCACACAACAAATTTTAATTCCTACAAACCACATTTAGTTTGAAATAGAAGCACGGGAATAAAAATGGATGAATGAAAACCCGACTGTGACGATTCTGTTCTAATCTGTTGTTGATTAAAGTATTACAGAGTCACCGTTTTTTAAAATGATACCAATATTCACTCAAACAGCTCAAGTTTTAATTTTTTTCTACTGATTTTGATACAAAGAAATTTTGTTTTGTAAGAAGTACCAGATGAGATTTATCGTTTTCCCCGCATATGAATAATTTGGTGCCCAAAGGAAAATCCCCGAGACTTTGATTTGGTTTTTAAAAAGCTTTAGGACAGGTTTAACTTTCTCAAGCTTAAAACAGACGGCTGTTGTTTTTTAAAGCAGGATAACGCACTGACACAAACAGACTCTTTGCCTTAACGATAAACGGATCAATCCTGCTTAGCGTGCAGTCAGCCCTCCACTCACTTCATGTATTAACTTATTTAAGGCGGTATGAGGCACGTAGTGCACCCACATCCCTGTACACATCATTACAGCCCGAGGCAGCAGCCGTCAGCTCTGACAGCCCATAAACTTTTGGACAAAATGCCAACAAAGAAAATCAACACAGAAGATTTTAAATTAAACAATCAAGATGTGTTCAAAGTCCAAACTTGAGCTTTAACTCAAAGAGTTTAACAAAAGTCTTGCATTTACTGTGTAAGAATTACAGCCATTTTTACACGCAGGATCATATTTTCACAGGCTGGATTTATCCAGTGCAGAGTGTGGTGGTGTTCAGCGTGCAAAAATGTGTCACACCTGCTGATTATGAGGCTGAGATGAGTAAAATATCACCGGTGAACTTCCCAGTGTCTCATAAGAACGTGGACAGCATAATCAATGGTGATGCAATGAGCTGGATCAGACATCCGATCCATTTTATTCAGTTACGTTATTTCAATATACAAGAAGAATCAGTGTCGAGTTATACTGGTACTGATAAATCCTCGCAATGCCCATCCCTCATCCTCCTCCAGCAGAATCCATCAGTGCATTTTGAGGACCAACAACTGAATCACATCAGTTCACATGAAAGGTCTATTTTAACAATAATCCAACTGCTGTGTGTAGCAGGACGACTATCACGTCGTAATCTCGTCATATTTCCATCTGCGTTAACGAGCTCAGCGTGTCAAATGAGCGCTCTGCTGTCGTGTGCACTCAAAGTCGTTTAAGCTCTTAAAGATTTATTTATGACAACACGCGAGTAGCAGCGCGCTCGCTGATGACAGAGGGGAAACACCGACACCATGTTGGATCTGCACCGGATCAAGTCGGCGAGTGACAACGACGGCAGGAATCTCACACACACACACGCGGGCGCTAATCGCTGGTTGCTTCTCACGGGATCTATTAATATTTAATAAGCTGCTGTGTTAGCAGGAGGATAAGCCTCGTGGACTTCAACTTAACACACTTTCCAGCTGCCCCACTGATGTGCTGACTGCCTTTATTCCACACTGCATCTCCTGAAGGAAAAATCTCAGCTTTATCTTGAAGGGTCACACTTCTTCCTTAAAGGGAATTTCACTGAACTGTAATTCAAAGGAAAATCTCTCTTCTTTCTGCAGACACCTCTGTACTTAGGAGGGTACTCAGAGAGCTGTGTGTCCTGGAAAACTCTCTAAAATGCTGCGTGTTGAAGAGCTCATCACATCTCTGTGTTGGTATCAGCCCAACAACAGGTACATCATAATTATGAATAAAAACAGAACTAATATTATCTTCATCTCCATCTAAGTCCACTCTCCTGGGAGAGGAGGAAGTAATCGGGCAGACGCAGGAAGCCCGTGAGCGCCGATGGAAATACGAGCAGCAAAGAAAGAGACTTTTCAAAAAGAAAAAACCGAGTGTGCGCCTGGGGGGGAAAGGGGATGAATGAGACGAGTCTCTTGACCCCCCACGACCTCAAACCGCCCTCCTCCCCTCTGCCTGCTTCCCACCAGATCACACCCTCCCTCGGCTTTGTTTCACCTCCATCCCTCCATCCCTCCGCCGCTGCTCCTCCCGCTCCCCTCGGGCCCAGATGGTCATCAGCTGGACTGATTTAGACAGCAGACAATAACACACTCACTTACAGACACACACACCCGAGCAGGCTTCCTCTGCTTTAAAAAAAATTGATGTGACAGAAAGTGCTGGACGGGTTGTGCGACATTTTAAATGCATGCTGGGAGAAGGAGGGGCATGTGCTGAATGAATAATGGCAGGCTCGATCAGAGGTTCAGAAATATTCATGATGAAGTTATGTGAATGTTCTAAAGAGGCTGTCGGAGCTGCCCCGAGTTTAACTCTGTAATTGGTGTAAATGTATAACGCAGACATGTTTGGTCTGGCTGTCTCGGCTCACTCGTCACTCCTCGAGGTTCAACTTTCTCCTGCAGCTGAAAGATTGATTAAGGCAAATGTGAGCAGACTTTTGTTCCTGGTACCATGTTTCAATATTAATTTAAGAGAAAAAAATCAAATTAGAAAAGAAAAAATTGCCAATTTACAAGAAGAAAATTGTAAATTTAATACAAGACATTTCTAAATGTGTGAGAAAAAATGCTGGAAAAATAAGGGATAAAAGAAAAACAATAATAA